TTGAGTTTCTTTGATGTATTCATCAAGATGATGGTTCCCTGAAGTCCACCCTTTTCCCAATTTACGTGGGGTGCACGTCTTGCACCAACCGAAAAAAGTCACGTTCGAGCATTCCAAACATTTATCGTTAATTCCTTCCCCTGGTTTACGTGGTTGACATTTTGCGCACCAACCATAAAGAAGTGTTCCCGAACATTCCCGGCAATTATTCGTTGCCGCCATAGTAGTTGAGTACACCTATTTGCGCTTTACAAGTCAGATATCAGAGAGCTGATTAACCGGTTTTTACTGCATAAAAATACGGAAATTTTACCCGCTTAGGTCAATTGATTTAGATTCTGTATCGGAATTGTGTTTTAATATATAATTTTTTGCGTAGATTTCTTTTGTTGAGAGTTGGAATGGGAAACGAAAATGTTTGCGCCAATATTGGTGTAAAACTGCAGTAAAATTGAGTGCATAAATACTGTGTTCATGTAACCAAACCCAAATTTATTAAAGCTTGGTTCGGATCAGGGACGATGATTTCTGTGGCGCTGTAAAATAAATTCTGTATATGATAATATATATTTCTATTTAATCTCATTATTAACTAATTTTGTGCATTTCTGCAATTTTATATTAGTAATTGATGCTTAAAAGATAATTGCTTGAAAAATAAAAAAACGTAAAATCCATTAAAATACATCACATTTATTGTTTCTAAGGAATCTTTAAGCAATTTGTTATACAGTGAAAACTTTCATTAAACACTACAACTAGATATTGGAAGCCAAATATAATCAGTGCAATATTAAATAAAATAGTAATTGCTATACCAATATTTCCCGAATATGATCAACAATAAATTGGAAGCATTGCATCGGAATATTTTTTCTTGATATCGATATATCATCAAGTTAAATATATTTAGGATCAAAAACTTTGACAAGCTTGAAAGAGAAAAGATGCTGAATGTAAAGGAATATATGTTGCAAATTTTCATAGTCTGTTTGAAATGCATTACAAAAAATCAAATCTGAAGAGATAAATTACATATCGAAAATCAAGAATCTAATTTTGATTTAAATATTCAAATTTAACCCATCTCAAAATGTATGGTATTGCTAATTCACATAATATTTCACAAAACTTGATGAAATTTTTAATTTTGAAAGATTTTTATAATAAAGATCATATTCAATATTACCAGAATTTTTTTGTGATGAATTAGAAATGGATAAAAATATGCAACTTTAATTATTAACACAATTTTTAAAATAATTATGATCATATATGATTATAATTTATATTTTTTTTATTTGTCAAGAATTTATAAAGAATTTAGTTTTTTTTAATAATCAAGCAAATCTTTATTTTCTTTTGTAAAGAATTATCTTGAATAATTATTAGCATATATTAAAAATAATCAATATATTTAATATTTTGAAAATATAGTTATATTTCTTTATAAAACATAATCAGGCTGAAAAATTTGATTTTTACAAAGTTATTCTTATATAATAATATATATACTAATTCATTGATTTTCAAAATTTCGTTTTTATAAGAGTTTATTTTTATATAGAATATATTTATAGAGAAATGTGAGTAATAATATCTTTAAGTATATAAAATAGAAAATACAGATAATATTTAAGTATTTTTATATATATAATATGTAATAAAAATCTTGTTCTTTTTAAATTTATTATACTTTAATAAATATATTTATAATATAACTAATAATTCAAACTTTATAATTATTTTTTATTAAATTTCTCAAATTCTATATTTTTTAAAATATATATTTTTTATAAAAATAAAAGAATTTATATATTAACTTTAAATAAAATTTAATAATTAGAAATAGGATAATTTATTTTTTTAATAATTTAATAATATATTTATATTTTATTTAATAATAAGTTATAAATTAATTTATTTATATATATAATTATTAAATTATCCTATAAAAAAAACCATATAATTTTTATCTAATATTTTTAGAATTTGATATGATAGAATGAGTCTGAATTAATTTTATAATAAATATAGAATTTTTTCATATTCAAATCATAATTATTCATAATTTTTTCATAATTTATAGAATAATTCTGAATTATTATTTGAAATTTTTTCATAATTTATAAAATAATTCCAATTATAATTTTATTATAATTTATAAAAAATTTCTAAATTAATATTTGAATTTTTTTTACAATTTATAAAATAATTCTGGATTAATATTTAGAATTTTTTTATAATTTATAAAATAACTTGGTTTAATATTTGAAATTTTTTTATTTAATATTATGAATATTATATTATAATTGAATTTTTATTTTTAGATTAATTAAATTTATATATTTCTATCTTTTGAATGAGTATTACTACTATTAATATTTTTTGCTTTTTCAGATCATTCTCTTATTAATAAATAAAAATATAAAATTAGATTAATTATAATATTAATTTATTTATGCTATTATATATCTACTTAATTTATATTTTTTAAAAAGATTTTTAATATTATACTTTTTTAAAGATTGTAGATAAGTTATTTTTTGTCAATTTTATTAATAATAACTTGATAAAAAATTATTATTAATATAATTATTTCTAAAATTATATTAATAATAATAAAATTAATTATATAGATAAAAATATTATAATTATTCTAAATATTATTATTATTATCTTTTATATTATCTTTAGCTAATAGTTATATTTCAATAACTTTATCTGAAAGATTTTCAGAATATTATATCTTTTTTCAAATTACTCAGCCTTTTATTTTTACTTTTTCTTCCTGATAACATATAAAATCTTTCTTCTTGATTATATAATATTTCTTGTAATATACTATTAAAAAAATAAGCTTAGAAAATAATAAATATTTAAATAAAATATAAAATTAAATTTATTTCTTTTTTCTATATATTAATATAATACTTTTTCAAAAGATTAATATTTAATATAATAATTAAAATATAAAAAATATTTTGCAATTATTTTATATTAATTTTGCTTTATATTTTTAAAAAATAAAGATATTCTGATTTTCTTTTAATGTTCACTAGATCTTAAAAGAGTTTCATAAAATTCTATTAAAAAAAATATATATTAGACTTATTTTATAAAAGAAAAATAGTTAAAATATAAATACTTTTAGCACAAGAATAATTTTTTGATTAATATTAGTATATTATATAATATTAATCTTTATCAATTATTTTCTATTAGAATCTTATTTTGATTTTTATATCAAAATATTTTGAGAGTATGTACTTAAAGTAAAAGTTTACAGTAAATTAAGATTTATTTTAATATTAAAAAGAAATATAGTTAAATCTAATAGTATGAATTTTAATAAATAATTTTAGAAAAATAAAAAATAAAAATCATCTTTTTAATTTATTTATATATTTATTAAATTATTTGAAAATATAAAAATACATTTATAATATAAATAATAATTTTTTATGCAGAAAATAATTAGTATAATAATATACTTAATATGATTTTATTTTTCAATAAAAATTATTATTAATTATATTTTAATTAAATTATTTATATTAATATAAAACTTAATAAAAGTTAATAAGATATAAATAATATAATTTATCTATTTGATAAATATAAGAAAAATTTATTATAGATAAAAATAATATAATTAAAAGTAATATTTTTCACTATTAATCTTAATCTGTAAATAATTATAATTTATCTTATTTATTATAGATTCTGAGAATAAGTTTTATCTTTATATTCTGGATATATTATATTATAATATTAGAATTAATTATATATTTAGTAATAGATTCTGTAAAAACTTTTTTTATATTATAGTTATATTTGGTATTGATTTTAGTTTTATAAAAATTATATAAAATTTTATATTATATTATAAATTTAATTTATATTAAGTATAAATTTTAATACACATTTTGAAAATTTTTAATTTCATAAAATATTAATCTTAAAATTCTGAAAGAATTCCATATTTGATATAGATTCCA